TACTTTTTGTACGCTAAACGGATTTCAGAAAGGGATTATCTATATTTTGAAATCTGAATTCAATTAAATATTTTTGTGAACTGTTTATAACATAGTTTACAATTATTTTTTTTCCATTTATGAATACATTTGAGTTAAACAAATCAAGGACCCGTAGTCAGCGGTGGCCTTAAGTATGTCCTTCGTCTGCATGTGTGTTCCATCCCTGCTCCTTGCGCCCACAGGCGATCTGTGTTGCGTTTGTTGCATGCTACGTATTCACCGTTTCATATCTCATCACCTTTTCCTTTACTTGCACTGTTTTTATTTGTTTTGGTTGTTTCCAAAAGAGATAAGTAATACGAGCACGCCAAGTGGTGTGAGGGAATCAACCAGGTTTTAAGATGATAAGTAAGTAGTAATAAGAGTGCTTTTTTTAACACATGTCGCCTGGAAACAAATACTTGCTTTGGGGCTTCGTGTAGAAAGACTCGTAACTGAAAGAGCTGCAAAGAACTGCAGTTACTTCAGTTCATTGATTTTTATAAAAAAAAGGACAGTTTTCTCGCGGTGTTTAGCTTAATCAACATACGTTTCAAGTCGCCACAAATATTTAATCAGCTGGTTTTGGATTTTCACTCTTAGATTACGTCTGATGTAATAACATCCTCCCCATAGGAAATAATCTCTGAATAGACAACACAGAAAGTTCATTGATTGGATTTCATGTTATTTGTGTTCTAAGTTGAATTTACAATTTATTTTCGTATGTTTTTTGATTATTTAAGATTATTTTTTAACTACTAAGTCATACAGCCACTACTGTAATTACCATTGGTTCTGCAACTTTGGGACACCAGTAGTGGAACTCGTATGGACAAACAAATAGTCATGCCCCGGACAGAATTCGAACCCCATGCTCTTCAGACTTAGCGTCCTCGGCCATCCAGACCAGTCACCAATATCATTTTTCTCAACTCATTTCATCTTACACACCTTTCTCTTAGAATTTGATGTTTAGGAAGATATAAAGCAATGATTTTAATGCATTAGCGTTACTGTAAAAACAAACGTAAACACAAACCTTTAGCAAGAACTGCAAATGAAAATACGTTTACGATATAGATATCAAGAAGTAAATGTTCTAGAAAATAAAACAGACTTGTTGGTTAGCCATAATGAATGGTTAAGCGACACAATACTTAAAGTTATGGGATAACGTTTCCTAAGAAGAACTAGGAGTAGTAATTAAGTGCAAGATGATGTACTACCCAACCATGGAAGATGTAACTCGACCCCCTGGAAATTAATATCTTGGGGCTGTCCCCGAAGAGTGTGTGACATGCTTGAGGCAGATGTCGAGGTATTTCATTGACACCAGTTGCAATCGTGCCGCATTAGAAAACTACATGAACCATAAAAAATCGTACTAATTTAAAGCACGTCATTGAACATTGACACCATAACTACAAATTCAAAAACTTTGATTGTAGAGAACGAGCTAAGAGATATTTTAGGTATTAATTTACAACAATTCAAAATTAGAGTTTTGGAAGCATTGTTTTCAAACATATTTTAATAACTGTAAGGTGGAGCGGCAGATAAGTATAACAGTTGCAATCCAATTTTTCATTCTGTGGACGTTCTCAATTTATTTTAAACCTTCAGACATAATATTAAGTAAATCTGAGATAACGAAACGTGATAATCCGTTAATTAATATAAGTTATGTTTTGACCCCTTCTCTCAAAACGGGTTTCAGATGCTGAAAATGCCTTGAATCACATGACCATTTTAGGGAAACTTTATTATGCCTCGTTAGACCTCTCTAGGAAACCCCTTCAACATGTCATTACATCTTGCTTCGTAGAAAAGGATTCCAAAATTGTGAACAATTGATGCTTTAAAATTCGCAGCCTTCTGTCACCTCTTCACCTATCCGTAATGTAGACCGGAATAACAGTTATTGAACGGCATATTCAGTGAATCTTTTTTCCTTCCCTTCTTTCCTTCTCTAACGTAGTTGTATATTGTAGAAACTGGGTGAAGTCCAAGATTGAGGTGTCCCGTAATTCAACCTCCAGTTCCGAGATGTATGTCAGCGAAGGAAGTCCAAAATACATTCGGGTACTCAAAAATGGGATATATAGAATGTCCAAGGAGGAAACGTCAAAACTTCTAAAATAAGCTCTCAAGACAATTGTAAGCATATTTTGTCTAATAAACTCGTACAATCCGAATGCCTTAGCCACAATACGAAAAAAACTAGAAAAGTTGGTTTGAATTAATACTTTCTACGCAAAAATTCGCATTGCAGACGCGTATAGACACTCTTGTAAAGTGTTTATTATTTATAAAAGAAATAAATATATTTGTATAATTCGACAGGTTAAACCAAATATGCTTAAAAGTGTCTTCAAAGCTTATTTTCGAAGTTTCGTCCCCCCCCCCAGACACCTGTATTTATAATTTAATTGTTATATTTATACAGTTCCACGAGGGGTCAGGCAGGCAAGGGGTCCAGCTAGAACGAGATAGTTGAGGCTGGGCTATTTATTGCTATGGGGAGGGCCATTTGGAGCGGAAGAGGCAAGTGAGGGGCAATATTTATACAACGTTCCACGACGGGGTCAGGCGGCGCAGGCAAGAGGTCAGCTAGAACGAGATAGTTGAGGATGGGCTATATTTAGCCACTTGAGCGGAGAGGCAGTGAGGGGCATATTTTAACAGTTTCCCGAGGGGTTAGGCAGGCAAGGGGTCAGCTAGAACGAGATATGTCTTGAGGATGGTGTAGCTATAATTAAGCAGCCCACTTGAGTGGAAGAGGGCAAGTGAGGGCTATTTATACAGTTTTCCACGAGCGGTTCAGGCAGCAAGGGGTCATCTCGAACGAGATAGTTGAGTGATGGGCTACTATTTAGCCACTTGGCGGAAGGACGTGCAAAGTGAGTGGGCGAGTCTTACTACAGTTTCCCACTTGAAGGGTCATGGCAGAGAAACGGGGTTCGCAGCTAGAACGAAATGTTTTGAGGAGTGGTGTCTATTATCTTACAGTCCACATTGGATTGGGGCGGGAAGAGGCAAAGTGAGGTGGACATTATTTATCTAAGTCCACGAGGGGTCAGCGCGGGCAAGTAGGTCCAGCTAGAACGAGATAGTTGGGAAGAGTTCGGGGGCCTTATAGTGTTAGCCACGTGGAGGGACGTAGGAAGAAGGCAAGTGAGGGGCACAGCAGTTGAAAGACCGGATTGCTGCCAGCGAATGGGTCTATCGGTCTTAGACCTACGAGTTGGGTCTTCTATTGCTTTTATTGTAACTGAGATTAGTTATTTGGATTTGGTTCTTTATATTTTTGGCTAACTCTCTTAATGCGACGAGAGGCGCGCATGTAAATTGAGGGGCATAAGTTTCCGTCTTACGTTCCACTGTGGGGATCCTAGGATTCCTGCTGTTCTCTGAAGCGCGGTCCAGTCGCTAGACACACGAGAATATGTAGATGTTGGGCTTATATTTAGCCACCTTTGAGCGGAAGAGGCAAGTGAGTCGGGCATAATTTATACAGTTTCCAACGAGGGGATTCAGGCAGGCACAGGGGTCAGCTCGTATAATCTAGAGATCACGTTGAGGTATGGCCTATATTATAGCCATCTTAGAGTGGAAGAGGCAAGTGAGGGGCATATGTTTATACATTTCCTACTGAGGGTAGTGCACGAGCAAGGAGGTCCAGACTAGAACAGTTGAGAATAGTTGAGAGTATGGGCCTTAATATTTAGCCACTCTGAGGCGGTAAGAACAGCAAGTTAGAAGAGGGCATATTATACACGTTCCACGAGGGGTCAGGCAAATTCGAGCACACACGCTCGCCAGCGGCGTAGACCGAGATACTGCTATAGAGATGATGGTTCTTATATTTTAGCTCACTCTTTCGAGCTGGAAAGAGGCAAGTGGGGGGCCATAATTGTATAATCAGTTCTAATGCGGGTAAACAGTTGTATGTCAGAGTTTTAGCTGAAAGAGAGGACCAGTCATCTACGAAAGTAACAGATGAAACTAAGTTGGAAGAGTAAGAGGCCGCTTATTATATGGGTACACTTGGCAGGGGATATCGTATACTATGGTTACAGATGTCCAGCGCAGGGGCTCATATCTTTGTATGTGACACTGTTTGCTAAGGCTCTCAACACCAGGAGGGGGTTTAGTTGAGACGAGCGAAGAGGAACTGGGTTGTTTTCACAGCCTAAGAAATCGAGTATGAGTTTCTAGGCGCGAATCGCTATATTCACTTAGAGCGCGCAAAATACTAGCAGAGGGGTAATGAAGGCAAAGCTAGGAGGCGGCATATTTAGACAGGGTATCCATCGATGGGGTTCTAGGCACTAGCTCTAAGGTGTCCGAGCTAGATGGAGATTAGGTTGCTGAGGATCGGGTCTAATATTCTATAGACACTCCTGAGCGAAGACGCCTAAATGCTGAAGGTGATCCATATTATTTAATATCAGTTCCCAACACGAAGGCTAAGCGACCAGGAAACGCGGTGCCTATGACTAGCAAACGAGAAATTTGGCTGAGTTTGGGTTTCTACGTATTTAGACTCTCACTTGAGCTGGAAGGGCTAAGTGATTGGGGCATACTTTATTCACGACCAACGAGAGGGTATGTGCTAAGTCACGAGCAAGGGTCCAAGCCTAGAACGAGTGTTGAGTTCCAACTGGGCGCCATATATTTTCAAAGAGCCACCTTGTATGAATCGCGTTAAACATGGCACTGATCACGCTGAGCGGCTGTTACGGATGTGTGTATACGCCTAGCCCGGGCATGTTCCTTAGTGATTGATGGGGTGCAGCGTCCAGCGGGGCAAAGCGAAATGAGCGTCTTTCGGCTAGTCTTCATAACCGTGGAGGCACGTTGAGGAGAGGGATAAGGATGGGGCCTATATTTAAGGCGCCCAGACGCAACTGCTGCTAGAATGTCGGACAAATGCTGGTCGGTCTTCACAGTACGGAGGTTTACGACGACATAGGGTTCGGAGGTGTTACTGGAAACGCAGATTCGTCACGGGTGGGATCAGGTCGATCTGAGGGCATTGAGTGTAACCGACATAGAATGAGATGTAGTGAGTGATGGTGCTCTAGTTGTGATAAGTGCTACTTGAGCGCGACGAGAGATGTTAGCGCACAGCTCGAGCGGCCATATTTTATCAGTTCAACGAGCGGGTCAGTATCAGGCAAGTGAGTTGGCGTGCCAGCTAGAATCTGAGGATTGTGTTAGAGGATGGCTATTATTTTGGCCACTTCTGGAGTTGTGGATAGATGCAAGTAGAAGTGGGGTCGGGTGGAACTCTGTTACGATATTGGTACATTATTATGCATAAAACCATGATACTTTGCAACTCACGAGGGGATCTCAGTGCATGAGGCAAAAGGAATCCATTGTTAGTGAAAACTGAGAGATTGAGAGAAATTTCCGAGGACTACTTATTTTAGTTGCAAGGCTACTCATACATATGGAGACGGGAAAGAGGCACAGATGTTTCGCACGTGTTCAGATGCCGTAGGCCTTAATATCCAGCCGCATTAAACTAGTATTTACCACGCTTATAGGATAGGGAGAGCGTCTCAGTGTTCAACAATATGGTTCTAAGACACGGGGTCCATGCTATGATCGGAGATTATGTATGTTGGAGTGAATCTGGGTTTATTCACGTTAGTGAAAGTTTTGGGTCTTAATAGTGCGCCCCCGGCGGGACGGCGGTTTGCACGGCTGGCAACCGAAGCAGGCAAGCGGTAAGGATCTTGAGTGTCTCATCAAGTATTACCGTTTACGGACCAGTCTTCACACAAACACCACTCTAACCATGGAATCCGTCAGAATGGTTCGGCCAACCATAATCCTCTTGAAATATCAACGCAGGAGGTTGACAGTTTTTAGATAAGTAATTCGATCTTGCTAAACAACAGGTATATTTGCCCAGATGTCAAGAAGGTGAATTCTCCAGTGCATTTGAACCACGTATTGGGACAGCGAGATATAAAATAGGTTGATAGGGTAAATTCTTGGGACTCTGCGTTCTTCACTAATTTTAGCCATATCTTGAAACCAGTAGAGGACTAAGGTGGAGGGGCATACTCTTAATCCTTCCTCCTTAGAACAGTGTGCCACCTCGAGGGCTCGAGGAACACAGTGCAACGTGGGTACCCAGCCCTAGAAGAATACAGTTGGCAGACGATGGGGCTAATATTTCTGTGCTCCTCAATCCCGCGGAGGCAAAGAGCGGTAGAAGTTGAAAAAGAGGCCCTAAGTCGCACGAAGGCCACACAATTACACAAGTATTCCATCAACGAGCGGGGTCAGGGTTCTCTACTGGGCAAGAAGGATGGTGCGCGAGCCTAAGAACACGAGAGCTAGCTTAGGACTCCTAGCCATCGAGACTGAGTGGTTAATAGTGTCCTACTTTGACAAGGGACAGAGATAATTCTAGGGGGATATGGAAACAATGGTGGCATGTTAAATTATTTTTATATGTGCTCCAAAGCTAGTGCAATAACCGCCAAAGGCCGGGAGATAAAGGCCAAGGAATTGGGAAGGGCGTCCAGCTGTAGAGAAACGGCAGATGAGGATGTTTTAAGCGTGGACTACTATATTTTCTGCTAGGGATGATGTCCCTACTTGAGTCGCGAAGAGCGGGAGCACTGCGACGCACCGGGCGCAAGGTAAGAGATGCAGCGCATCCACATTTATTTTATATCCAATGAACAAAAATATTATTTCCAGTTCCACAGACGGGGTGCAGGCAAGGTCGAAAGGGTTACGCAGCTTAGAACATGCAAAGATTAGTTGACGCAAGAATCGGGCTTCAGCCGCATCATTAATTTAGCACCACAAAACTGAGCGGAAAGAAGAGACTGAGGGCAAGTGAGGGGCATATATGGTAGATAGTCATGTTCCTAACACGAGGGTCTCAGTAGCCAGGCAAGGGGTTCCGGCTAAGAACGGAGATAGTTGAGGATGGGCTATATTTAGCCCACTTTTGAGCGGAAGAAGGCAAGTGAGGGGAATATTTATACAGTTCCAAGAGGCAAAGAGTGTCCCAGGCAGGCAAGGGGTGAAATCGAAGAGATTAGATTGAGTGGATGGGTACTATATTATCAGACAAACCGCCACTTGAGTTAGGAAATGGCAAGTGAGGGCATTTTTTATACCCCAGTTCCACGAAGGGGTACAGGCGGCAAGGGGTTCCAGCTACAACGAGATAGTTTGAGGATGGGGCTATATTTAGCCACTTGAGCGGAAGAGGCAAGTGGAGGGGGGCATATTATACCAGTTCCACGAAGCGGGTTCCCAGGACAGTTCATGGTCCAGCGAGGAAGAGAACGTTGAGGCGATTCGCGGCTGTCAAACTGCTTTGTGATGGGGCGCGGCTGAGAATGTCAGGCGCGCGTTGCGCGGACTCGCTCCCGGTGGTGCCGTCTGGAGGCGGCCGCAGCACTGCTGTCGCACTGACGACAGAACTGCTGAGGGAGGTGAACGGCTTCGCGGCGCACGCGACCTGGCCAGTGCTGGAGTTCGGAGAACGCGCGTATTGAACGCGTGCAAGAACTCAGAAAGTCGAATATCGTATCGCAGTGGGAGGTTGGACAGACGTAACTCTGGACCGAGATCGAGCTGAGCGGCATGATCTGCTGGCGCGAATCTCGAGGCTCCTCGGCCAACGACGGACAACCGAGGCGCAACCGCGATGTCATTCATATTAACGGCGGGGCGCGTGCGGGCGGGCGGCGGCTGCGCCTCGTAACCCGGCCGCCCGCCTCGCCGCCACACTGCCTCACAGCTTAACGCGCCCGCGCCGATCGGCCGGCCCAATCCGGCCCCGCCCGCGCGCCCGCGCCCTGAGTAAGGCGCCCCGCGGCTTGCGATGGCGACTGCGGCCGCGTGGGAGCCGCCGCAGCCGCCGGCCGCCGCCGCCTTAGACGAAACGCGCCGCCGGCTCGCACAGGTCAGTCAATGCAATTCAAAGGATGCCTTCTTTTTACGTGCTCTGCTCTTCGTCTGACCAGCAAAGCTCCCACACGCTCCTTTCAACCATCTGGCGGAGAAAGTAAGGTATCTCTTCGCAGCCGATCGAAACATGCGATTTTAAATTTTGTTTGCCGGAAGCTTCCTTTAGACTTGAGGTTATTACAAACAGTATAATCTATGTCCATGGTAACATCGGGGATTTAACTCATTTCAAAGCAAGGCGTACGAGAATGATTTCTGCTCTTAAAAATGCACGGCTTGGATCGGTTAAACCGCCACAGGGCACTTAGGCAATGAGGCGTCGGTCCGCGCATACCATTCTACAGCTCTCGATGAGGGACTCTCGCTTCGGTTCTTAACGTGCCCTTACTGAACATCGGACATAATGATTCAAAGCGCTAGATCAGTGGTTTGTACAAACAAAGCTTTTGAAGGTTCGTACAGCGTTTTTCACCAGCTCTCAATCCACGCCCGGCGCGAGAAGATTATTTCGGAGTGGGGTTCAACATCATTAATATTTTATGGGTGCTTGTTTTACATACGTGTCGGCCACATAAAATTCTAATTTTAAAATTTCGACAATAGTAGCTTTGAAATAATTACACACTGGCGCCTATTCACACCTTAGTTCGCTTATTTCCGTGTAATCCACTGGTTTCAATTATCACAACGTATTGGCTTCAACTGTCATTCATGCAACCCTCTAGTATAGTTCAAAAATTCGAGGTTTGGCATCTCCGGCTTTGGATTTGACTGTTTGGTCTGTGCTCTCCATAGTAGAGGTTACAGCCTCAGAATCTATTCAAGATCTACGTGTCGCTTTGATCCAAAAAAATAAAGATAACAGGCCGGAATCGCATTTATTCAGAGGCCGCTGTTTCTATATGGAAAAAAGATTAATTGTAAGCTTGATTACATCAAAAACAACGAACGTTGCCATTTATTTTGCCACATAGTTGGCACTACCATGGAAACACAATAAACACAAATCCATTTAGCACTCGGTAGGGACTCTCAATCATCTTCTCTACTATTCTGGGGTAGGTACGTA